GACTGGTTGGATTTATGTGCACACCTTGTCATCAGCGCAGACTGGTAGGTTTATTTGTGTCTGTGTTGATGTATGATATGCCATGAGCACATATGGCATTTCTATTTGTTGTGGGTTGTGGACCACCAACTCATTATAGACGTTTATTTGCAATTTAAGCATTTACTTAATATATCTCATACTCAGACGTTTCAAGTGCATTTAATCCTTGATGGTCTTCCCTTTGCGTTTTTCTGCTGCTTTCTAGTATCACACGCTGGGGATCCCTGTTTTGTCTGGTGTTCAGAATACTCCTTGGCTGCGGCGGAGAAATCACATGGTGGTGTCTCCACAGGATTAAGCCAATTGCCCTCAGCAAATCATGGGTTAGAGGAAGCATGTCAACTGTATTAAAAGTTTTGTTGTCAGATTTATGCACGTTATCAATTTACTTCATTTATACCCCGCCTTTCTCCACCCAAGAGACCCAAAGCAGCTTATCGCATTTTGCTGTCCTCCATTTCATCTTTACATCATCCCCGTGAAGACATTTTGGCTGAGGGAGTGTGACTGAACCCCAGGTCACCCAGCGAACGTCCGTGGCAGAGTGGGGATTCAAACCTGCGTCTCCCAGATCCCAGCCTGACACTCTAATCCAGGGGTCCCCAATAGGGTGCCCGTGTGCGCCACAGCAGCCGCTGACACCGTTTCTGGTGCCCGCCAAGCGTGTTTCAGAAGTGGGTGGGGCCAGGTAGGGCTTTTGGAGTCCTCACTTCAAAAAAGGATGTGGACAGAATGGAGCCGGGTGCAGAGGAGAACGACGAGGATGATCGGGGGCCTGGAGACCAAGCCCTGTGAGGAAAGACTGAGGGACTCGGGAATGTTCAGTCTGGACAAGAGGAGATTGAGGGGGGGACGTGATTGCTGTCTTGAAGTATCTGAAGGGCTTTTACTTAGAGGAGGGCAGGGAGCTGTTCTTGTGGGCAGCAGAGGCCAGGACTCACAATCATGAGTTTAAATTAAGAGCAGGAAGGTACCAGCTGGATATTAGGGAGAACTTTTTGACAGAGTTGTGCAACAGTGGCATCAGCTGCCTAGGGAGGTGGTGAGCTTCCCCTCACTAGCAGTCTTCAAGCAGCGGCTGGACAAACACTTGTCAGGGATGCTCTAGGCTGATCCTGCATTGAGCAGGGAGTTGGACTAGATCAGGGGTGTCAAACGTGGCCCGGGGGCTGGGTCAGGCCCCCAGTAGGCTTCTGTCAGGCCCGCAGTGGAACTGGCTGTCTTCTGCTTCTTCTTCCAGTTCTGCTGCTGCTGCTGCGTGATCGTAGGTTTGCAGCTTACAGATACACGCCTGAACAGCCTACTCAAGATTGCAACAGCACAGACATTTGGATGCAGTAATTCAGAGCCAGAGGGGTCCGTTATCAGACACTGTTAAATAAACAAAATATTGCAAGAGTGCTAATGTTTTAAGCATGTTTTTATTTTAAGTTAAAAAAACCCTTTATGTTTGTGTCCTTTATAAAGTTTATATCTCTGCTACCTGGCATTACATTTTATGACACACATGGCCCGGCCCAACAAGGTCTCATTTATGTCAGATCTGGCCCTTATAACAAATGAGTTCTATGCCCCTGATCTACACTGTGTTACTGAGGTGAAGCTGTGGCAATCGTATTGTGGCAGGCTCTGCTTCCTGCGGCAGCCATGTCGTGGCAGGTTTTTTGTTACTGCAGCCACCATGGCCATATAAGAATTCCAAATGTGCCCACAGGCTCAGAAAGGTTGGGGACCTTTGCTCTAACCTTTGCACTGTACTAGGTCTCTGTGCGCTGCCTCCAAATAAGGTACGACGGTACCTCTTTTATTTTGTGTGGTTAGGCATGATGTAGTTTTAAATTTCTGGTTGTTCCTTCCTCTCACTCAATGTATCGATCGCTGCCACCAGGAATTTAATCCCAGTCTTTCATTAACCTTTTCCCACAGTATTGTGCCCGAGCTTTAAGGCTCCTTCGTTGGACTATGTGGTTCTGAGGATAAGACTCTGGGTTAACAATAAACAAGATAAAATTTTATTGGTAAAAGAAGCGTATTGGTTACAAGATGTTTTGTTAAGCTGCTCAGTAGAATCTTTCCCTTTTTACTCGGGTCTCTGTCAGCTTTTCCCCTCAACACTCTTTAACATACTCTATTAGATTTTGCCTAATATGCCCCCTTAAAGTATATTTTCTTCCTCCTTTAGAATCTTAATGCCTTTCACAGCGCTTCTGTATGATTCTATTTGGAAGACTGTTTCTCAGACTCTGTGTAGATTGACCACAACTGACAGCTACTGACTGCTGACTTCAGACTTCCGACTGAACCCTCTTGTCTTCTCTCTCCACACACACACACACCCATCCTAGCTCCGCCCACACACTCTCAGTCACCAGCCAATCACCTCGCTCACTATTCTCCTCTTTCACCTCCTTGTCCTTCTGATACTCACCAACCGTTTTAAAGAAACACACACATATAACTTGAAATCATTACGTAAGGCCTTGTGCCATCTTGGTGTGTGCGGTCGAGGACTTTGAGGCATTCTCCGTTTCCATACCCAAGTGGGGAATCAGGACTGCCTGTGATACATGGACGCAGGCCCGTAGCTACTGTGGGGCATCTCGGGGCCTGGCCCCCTGACTTACCACCAAGGCCCCCTGACTTCCCATCCGGCCCAAACTGCCCCCTTGGGGGCGTGGGGGGCGCCCCCTGACTTATTTAAACCCCCCCCCATTAAAAATCCTGGCTAAGGGCCTGCATGGATGGCAGAATGGGAAGCAGGCCATGACATTGGCCCAAAGCTTCCGTGGCAGCGTGGGGATTCTCAGCTGGGTCTCCCGGATCCTAGGCTGACATTCCAACCATGACACTCCAAATTAATTGCATGTTTCCCAAAGGATCATGGGAATGCTTCTGAAAGACTCGCCATGACCTAGGTGGTACACAGCAGGACTGGGCTAGCAGGAAGAGGGATTGCTGGAGGTGTATGGAAGGTACCACTCTTGAGTGCCCTTCTGAGCTTTCTTTCCCTGCGGAAGGGGACCCAGAACACATTTAAATGCCCTCTGAAGAAGAAGAAGAAGAGATTGGATTTATGCCCCGCCCTTCACTACCCAAGGGTGTCTCAGGGCGGCTTACAAACTCCTTTCCCTCCCCCTCCCCACAACTTACACCCTGTGAGGTAGGTGGGGCCAAGAGAGCTCTTGACAGAAACTGCTCTTTTTCAAGAACAGCTGTGCCAGAACTATGGCTTGCCCAAGGTCATCCAGCCAGGTGCAAGTGGAGGAGTGGGGAATCAAACCCGGTTCTCCCAGATTAGAGTCCGCGCACTTAACCACTACGCTAAACTGGCTCTGAGCTGTTTTTTCTTCGGAACTGACACGTTCGCTGCCCCGTCCCTTGGGAGGAAGGGCCAGAAACAGGCTTGGAGCCTCCCCCTTTAAAGACAGGCATTCACATTAATTTAATTAACTGTAATTTAACTGCCCCCTTAAACATTTAAATGCCCCCAAACAAAAAATCCTGGCTACGGGCCTGGTGGAAGGCTATTAGGATATGGTTTCTCCCCTCCTGTCTTCTTCAAGGCCCCCGTACAAAGTACCAGAATAAGACTATCACCAAAACACACACACACACACACACACACATACACGGAGGTAGACAGTCAGCAGAGAAACGCTCTGTTTATTTTATTTCCCAAAGCTGCCCCATGGGAAAGGGCAGACAGCACCAGGGAAGGGGCACCTGGGAGGTTTCTGTATTAAAATAGCATCTTCATAAAACATGCAGCTGGCTTGGGCATGCATTCCCCCCCCCCTTTACCCCACCCCTCCCTCCGCAGTCCAGCTGGGGTTTCGGAACCAAACCAGCAAGGCAGTAAAATCCAGGGCGCGATTTCCAAACGGCTCCTGCCATTTGTACAAAATGAAATTAGGGGTGGGGGAGTGGGGAGAGAAGGAAAGGCTGGGAAGTGGATCCTTTTGCCGCCGGGATGGACTCTGACTCTGGCTACACTGCCTTGGAATTGCTCCCCTCCTTCCTTTCTCCTGTAAAGGTACCCATGGGCTCTGTTCTGAGAATGCCAGGAGCTGAAACATCTCCCTTCTTGCTTCAGACTTGTCCTGTAGCCTGTTTATGAGAGGAGGGGGGTTTTGGTGGGCCAAACCCTCCCTCTTTAACATCCCTGCAAATTCACAGGAGGGACAGGGACGGCCCGGGCCACTGGTCAAGTCAGCGTGAGAAGAGGTGGTCGTTCGGGTTGCCAGTCTCCAGTTGGGGCCTGGAGATCTCCCACTAGTACGGCTGATCTCCAGACAACAGAGATCAGTCCCGTCCCCCCCGCCCACGGACGAAAAGGCTGCTTTGGAGGGGGGACTCTATGGCATTAGACCCTGCTGAGGTCCCTCCCCTCCCTAAGCCCTACCCCACCCAAACTTCACCCCCCCCAAATTTCCAGGGATTTCCCAACATGGCATTCCTAGCTGTGGCTAAAATTGCCAACTTTCCGGAATGACAACTGATCGGAATCGGTTCCCCTGGAGAAAAATGGCAGCTTTGGAGGACGCCTCCAAGTCTCCAGGTATTTCCCTACCTGGAGCTGGCAGGGCTGACTGCTTTAGGGCTGACTGCTGCTGGCAGGACTGCTGCTGGCAGGGCTGACTGCTTTAGGGTGGAGCCGCTGGATGGTGAGGCCTGCCGCTTGCGCTGGCTAGGGGGAAACGGCTAGGAAGGGGGGTCCGGCACTCCTGCCAAGGAGCCAGAGGCCTTCTTTGGGGAGCTGTTGACCACTAGCAGTCCCTCCACTTCTCTAACGCTCAAGCCCCATATACGATAGGTATCACCATGTGGTCGATCGGGCCTTTCTGCTGGTTGTGCGACCGTCCAAACGGAAGAGCTCCACGCCTGACCAATGACAGAGGCTTGGGGGAGGGGATGATACTGTGCGGGGACCCCCTCCCCAACTGCCGTGCCTCGGTGCTGCTGTCCCGCAGAGCCCCCTCCCCCTCCAAGGGGAGAAGAGAAGGGTACACGTGTGGGTGGATTCAGCCAAGAAGTCTCCCGGGGTGTGGGGTGGGGAAGGCGGTAGCCATTATTCCCTCTTCTCTGTAGCGCCCTCTGTCTTGTTGTTTTGCTCCTCCAGCGGGCACGGAGCCTCCAGATGTTCGCCCAGTCTGGGTGCCTCGATGGTGACCTCATGGGCAACGCTCATGGAGGACCGGGGGGTGACGGGGAGGCGGCCACCGACGTCCGAAGCCCGGAGGCGTTGCATGAAAGTCGTAACACGGATGGCTTTCTGCAAAGAGATGGACAACGGCAGGGGTCATTTTGCAGGGAAACAGGTGCAGGAGCTCATTTGCATAGCTCATTTGCATATGCCACACCCCCTAACAAAGGGCAGGCATGCAAACATGCCTGGGTTCCCTGCCTGATCTTCTCAAGATCAGGCAGGGAACCCAGACATGTTTAAAATGCTTTTCTTTCCCTTCCCCCATCTGGCATTAAAGGCATTTAAATCCCCCCCCCTTCCCTGAGTTTCTCCCTGCGGGGCACCAGGAGAAGATCGGGCAGGGAACCCAGGCATGTTTAAAATGCCTTTCTTTCCCTTCCCCAGATAGGGAAGGGAAAGAACGGCATTTAAATCCTCCCAGGTGGGGGGGGCACCCCTAGGCTCCTTACTGCTGAAGCGCCGCTTCTGTGCGCTCCGGCAGGAAACGAACCCTGGACAACCGTCAAGAACTGGGCCCCAAACTCTATGAGGAGCTGTCTGATCTGTTTCCAGGCACTGGTGCCAGTTGGAAGGACTGCGTTACGTAAAGATGTTTGCAGTTTGCACTGGTATAAGCAGAGGTATACTGCCTCTGGTACTGGAGGGAGTAGATATATCCCTTGTGGCTAATAGCCACTGATTGCCCCACCCTCCATAAATCTGTGCACACAAGAATTTATGTTCTTAACATGTTTATCTTTCTTAACAAAAAATCAGTGGCACAACTGATAAGAAGGGAAAATACATATGTGGGCTAGACAGATGGTGAGCTTGTTAGCGTCTAAATTATTTACATCCCTACCTGCAGGGCTATTTTTGGGCAGGAACACACAGGAACGGAGTTCCGGCTGGCTCTCAAGTTGGCCACGCCCAGCAGGAACTCATTAGCATAATAGGCCACACCCAACAGCAGAAACTCATTAGGACTGGCTACATTAGGGGTGTGTGGCCTAACATGCAAAGGAGTTCCTGCTACCCAAAAAGCCCTGGGTTTTGACAACAAATGAGGTAAACAGAATAAGAAGCAAAAGGTGGGTGTGGCTGGATAACCACACTTCTGGTAACATGGGGGTGCGGCCTAATGTGCTAATGAGCTGTGCTGTCAGGGGTGTGGCTCAATAGAATAGGCTAATGAGTTCCTGCTGTTGGGTGTGGCCTATTATGCTAATGAGTTCCTGTGGGCTTTTTCTACAAAAAGAGCCCTGCCTACCTGCATGCACCTTTTCCTATGTGACACCCCCCCCACCCCGTGTTTCACATTGTTCAAAGTGCAGCCTGTAAACTCCAGAACCATATATGGTCTGGACTGGTGAACCCCACTCTACAGTAGGAACTCGGCTGAAGGGTGACTGTGTCTTCCACATTGTCATTTCATTTTGTCCCTATTTCTCTATGGGGGTGGGGGGTCCCTTTCCACTTGTGTTTTGCTCCCTCTGGGACTACTAGAGAGAGCAAAACACATTGGGGGGGGGGGACCCTGAAGCAATAGGGACAAACAAGTGACAAAAATGACATTGAGGAAGAGTCAGAGGTTCAGGTGGGGGTAGCCGTGTTGGCCTGAAGCAACAGAACAAAGTCTGAGTCCAGTGGGCACCTTTAAGACCAACAAAGTTTAATTCTGGGGATAGGTTTTCCTGTGCAGGCACGCTTCTTCAGAGGTTATAGCTGAAAACGAATTAGAAGAATTTCCTCTGGGCGCAGGACAGGATCACGAAGAATTAAGACAAGCTCATTTGGTGGTTTCTCACTGCCTCTCTAGCGGTCTCTTCCACGCATGAGTTGTCTGGGGAAGGGGGTTGGGTAAGGCGCATGTATAATTAAATGTAGGATTGAAGTCGTCTAAGAGAAGCTGACTTGCTGGAAGCAATATACAAAATGGGGGGATACCAATGGGGAGGAATGCAAAACTCGGCCTTGGCTGTTCCCATGTGCAGGCGGAAGATTCTGTCCCAAGCAGATGTTTTCAGTTATCACTTTGATGTAAAGGACCTTTCTGGTCATCTAATTAAAAATAATTGGGGCATTTCCCTCTAAAATTGGCCATTCAGCTGATGGGTTTTTAGAGCACTTGCAAGAGGGAGGAAGGGAGAGAGAGAGAAGCCCAGGTTTCTACTTGTGAGCAGTGTTCCCTCTAAGCTGAGTTAGTGTGAGCTAGCTCACATTTTTTTAGCCTCCGGCTCACACATTTTTGTCTTAGCTCAGGAAGTAGGGCTCCAGAGCAAACTAATTTATGCAGTAGCCATATTGCTTGCTCACAATTTTAATGCCAGGACCTCACAAAAGAGAATTTTTGCTCACAAGACACGACAGCTTAGAGGGAACATTGCTTGTGAGTACCTGACTCCAGGATCGGCAACACAGCAGGACCAAAGCCTGGAACAACCGTCTCCTTTCCACCCTGAAGAAGTCCCCGATGGTATTCTGTCAGCAGGAGGAGACAACTGGCCACAGGATCTTTTGGAGGGCATTGTACTGGTCATCACAATATTGGTGGTGGTGGTGGTGGAAAGTACCGTCAAGTCACAGCTGCCTTATGGTGACCCCGTAGGGTTTTCAAGGCAAGAGACGTGCAGAGGTGGTTTGCCACGGCCTGCCTCCGCGTTGCAACCCTGGTGGTCTCCCAAGCTGGGGCCGACCCTGCGTAGCTTCTGAGATCTGACGAGATCGGGTTAGCCTGGGCTATCCAGGTCAGGGCATCACAATATTAGGTGCTGAGTTTGAAGCAGGGGTCTCCAACACAGTGCCCGTGGGTGCCATGCAATGCTCCCTCTAAGGTGTGGAGCCTTGTGAGCAAAAATTCTACTTTGGGAGCCACTGGCATTAAAGTTGTGAGCGAGTGATTTGGCTACTGCATAAATTAGTTCGCTCTGGAGCCATTCCTTCCTGAGCTAAGACAAAAATGTGTGAGCCAGAGGCTAAAAAAACTGTGAGCTAGCTCACACTAACTCAGCTTAGAGGGAACACTGGCTGCCATGTAGGGTTGCTAGGTGTTTACCGCCTGCTGTCAGGGGGCTCTAGGCTGCTCCCCGGGATCTTTTAGTGCGTGGTCCATGGTGACATCACCAGGAAGTGACATCATCATGCTGGGCATGTCATGCGGGGGGGCGTTATAGCATTTGGCAAAAAACTTTATGGTCACCATAGAGCTTTTAGCCAAATGCTAGAGTGCCCTCACACACAACATGCCCAGTGCAATGATGTCACCTCCGGGTGATGTCATTGCACCGGACGTGGCAGGGCTCGCTGGCCAGCTGGACAGTGGCAGATTGGGGCCCCCGAAATCAGGGGAAACCCCACCCGCATTGGGGGGATGGCAACCCTAGTGCCATGGCCGCCACCAAATGTTTTAAGAAAGTGGGTGTGGCTTTAGCCCAGCAAGGCTTTTGATTGGCCATTGGAGGTTTGATTGGCTGTGTGGATTTTTAAAAACGTTGCTTTGGCTGCAGCTGCCACCACAGCCCGGGGATCTTGACTGTGTGGAAGTGGTCTCCCATGTCAGCCATTTTGTACCTGGGCCCACCATGCTGTGTCATAATTCCAAAGGTACAGGCTCAAAAAGGTTGGGGATCCCTGGTTTAAGCTGTTGTGTGATAGCACATAATGAATTGGTTCGTTCGTGAATGTCAGTGATAGGCAGCCAGTGGTTTTGTCTCAGCTCCCCAACTACAAATTTAATGCTAGCCATTCAGTCGTGTTCAACTCTTGGCGATTCTATTTATTTATTTATTTATGTTTGGATTTATATTCCGCCCTACCCCGGAGGGCCAGCTCTCTCCACAAATTTAATAGGAACTCGTAAATGCTGGGAATAGGCGCTAGCATAGCACATGGAGCCTTGAAGTTCCTCAGAAACCGAGCTGAGCTCCTTCAGTGAGAAAAGCATTATCAGCGCAGGAGATCCCTGAGAATTACCTTGGGTTGCCAGCAATGTTCCCTCTAAGCTGTGGAGTCCTGTGAGCAAAAATTCTACTTTGTGAGCTGCTGGCATTAAAGTTGTGAGCGAGCGATTTGGCTACTGTATAAATCAGTTTGCTCTGGAGCCATCCTTCCTGAGTGAAGACAAAAATGGGTGAGCCGGAGGCTAAGAAACTGTGAGCTAGCTCACACTAACTCAGCTTAGAGGGAACACTGGTTGCCAGTCTCCAGGTGGAAGTTGGAGATTTCCTGGAATTACAGCTGGTCTCCAGGTCACAGAGATCAGTTCCTCTGGCAAAAAAGGCTGCTTCGGAAGGTGGACTCTATGGCATTATACCCCGCTGAGGCCCTCCCCCTCCCAAAACCCCCCCTCCCCATGTTCCACCCCCCAGAATCTCCAGGAATTTCCCAACCTAGACCTGGGAACCCTAGAATTACTCCTACTGGTTTTCATCTACAGTGCACAGGGACAGAGCACTGGGTGTTTTTTAGGAAGCACCGTGTGGAACATCAGTGAGGAGGTTACCGTAGCTTCGGCCAACATTCCACGTGAAATGAACACACAGCCTTAAACTATGCCTTATACAAAGTTCTTGTGGCAGATGTGCAAGAGTTTCTCGACAGATAAGTCAAGGGGGAAAGGGTTCCTTTGAAAACCGCTGTCCTGAGGAACAGCATCCTCCCACCAGCTTCTCAGCAGTAATGTGTCTCTTTTTGCTTATGTGCTTTATACTGAATCAGACTCACCATCAGGGTCTCAATTTATTACTCTTAGCATTCCACAATTAAGGATCTACATCCATTTCCAATTCTGACATATTTATTTCCTTCACTGTTTCCCCCCAGAATTGAACCCAAACAAATGGTAACCACATAAACAAAGCTTATTATTCCTGTTTGATCCCTGGATCTGGTGAACATCTTCATTATGCTGTATGATAATTTATTGCCCTCTACCTATAGATATGGACTGGTAATTTCCGTTTTTGTTTCTGTCTCTGTCTTGACTCTAATTGGCCCTTCCTGGCAATTAAACCTTACCTCTACCCTCTCTCTATATGTAACGGCTGAGGAAATTCTGTTTCACTGTATCTGAAGAAGTGTGCTTGCACATGAAGGCTTATACCTTGAATAAGGTTCCGTAGGGCCTGCAAGCAGTGTTCCCTCTAAGCTGAGTTAGTGTGAGCTAGCTCACAGTTTTTTAGCCTCTGGCTGACACTTTTTTGTCTTAGCTCAGGAAGGATGGCTCCAGAGCAAACTAACTTATGCAGCAGCCAGATTGCTCGCTCACAACTTTAATGCCTGTAGCTCACAAAGTAGAATTTTTGCTCACAAGACTCCACAGCTTAGAGGGAACATTGCCTGCAAGATGGAGCTCTTCCGCCAGGCTTTTAATTAGGAGCTGCCACTACCACCAACAACAACTATTCGGTGGTAACAACAGGGTGATGGGATGGCCCAGTATAAAGATCTCGCTACAGTATTGCGATGGGGTTGGGGCCACTGAGGCGGGCTTTTGGGTACATGTATAGGTCACCATCTGATTCGATTGACTTGATCAAATTGGTAACATCACTGAGCACTTTATTATTGTTAAATATGGTTGATTTTATGCTGTTTTTAATGTTTTATTTGGCACATGTTGCCCGTATTTGAAAGCCGCCCTGAGCCCGTTCGCGGGGAGGGCGGGATATAAGTGTAATAATAAATAAAATAAATAAATAAACCTTTGTTGGTCTTAAAGGTGCCACTGGACTCAGACTTTGTTTAGCCCACCAAAGTCAGTGTGGTCTACTCAGACTGGTGGCAGCTCTCCAGGGTCTCAGGTAGAGGCCTTTCATATCACCTACCGCCTGGTCCTTTTAACTAGAGATGTCGGGGAATTGAACTGGGGACCTTCTGCATGCAAAGCAGAGGCTCTTCCACTGAGCCACAGCCCCTCACACATCCCTTCCCTGCACCATAATGCTGTTGAAGGCACCAGGACTCACCCTCCACTTGGCCTTGGCAAAGTTCTTTTCGATCTGTGCGCAGACCCCTTCCTTGAGGTTCTTTTCGGAGGCGATGTTGCCCGATATCCTGCCAGGAGAGAGGAAAGACAGAGTTGCTGGGGTGGAGGTGAGCATGTTTGAAGGGGAAGAGGGAGAATGACATAGATCTAGAGAGGAAGATAGAAACGGATTTTCATGTTAGCCCGATGGGCAAGTGAGGGGCTTGCCCAAAGGACTCAGGGACTGCCTGGAATACCCATGCGGACCCTCAGGGATCCCTGGACCACAGCTGGAGAATCCCTACGTTAACACCACATTGGCTGCAGAAGGAGGAAGGGGCATCGGGTAATGTAAGACAAGCTGAGAATGGTAGCTGCCAGCTAGGGCCATGTTTCCAAATGCAATGATTTGAATGATTTCAGTCTCATCTGTATCTGATGTGATGTTGCAGAGTACAATAGGCAAGCTATACGCAGGCGTACGGAGGGCCCCACGAGTGGTACATTTGCCAGGTCGTAGGGTTGCCAGATCTGGGTTGGAAAATACCTGGAGACTTTGGGGGGTGGATCCGGGAGAGGGAGGGGTTTGGGGAGGGGAGGGGCCTCAGCATGGTACGATGCCAGAGAGTCCACCCTTCAAAGCAGCCATTTTCTCCAGGGGACCTGATCCATCAGCTGGATATCAGCTGTAAAAGTGGGAGATCTCCAGGCCCCACCTGGAGGCTGGCAACCCTAGCCACACCCCAGACCCCCCCCCCCACTTACCAAATGTGCCCCAGTGCCTCCTGGGCTGTGATTCGCTGGTCCTGGTCAACTTCCATGAGCCGTGATACCAGCTTTTTGGCTGCCGGGGGAAAAATATAAGGTGTCAGAAATGTCAGGGGAAATGAATTATCACTCTGTGGCCCAAACTCTAGCCCGGGGTACACGTACAATAGATCAGGGGTCCCTAACTTTTGAAGAAGAAGAGGTGGTGGAGGAGGAAGAGATTGGATTTATACCCTACCTTTCATTACCCAAAGGAGTCAGAGCGGCTTACAATCGCCTTTCCCTTCCCCTCCCCACAACAGACACCCTGTGAGGTAGGTGGGGCTGAAAGAGGTCTTTCAAGAACTGCTCCTGAGAGAACAGCTCTGAAATAACTTGTAACTGACCCAAGGTCTCACCAGCAGCTGCGAGTGGAGGAGTGGGGAATCAAACCCGGTTCTCCCAGATAAGAGTCCGTGCTCCTAATCACTACACCAAACTGGCTCTCAGCGTGTGGGCACCTTCGGAATTCGAACACAGCCCCAAAATGGCTGCCGCAGGAGGTGGTCTGTAAGTAGAAAAGCGGCACAGAAGGGAACAGGTGTAGGCTGCTGCCACAGGGAGAATTTGCTGCGCCCTGTCTCTCAAACTACAGCAGGGATTTTCATAATATCCACACCTCCTCCTCCTCTAGTTCCCTTTCCTCTGCGATATGAACACATGAAGCTACCTTATACTGAACCAGACCATCGGTCCATCAAAGTCAGTGTTTTCTACTCAGACTGGCAGCGACTCTCCAGGATCTCAGGTTGAGGTGTTTCACATCACTCTAGTACCTGGATCCTTTTACCTGGAGATGCCGGGGACTGAGGCTGGGCAGATGCTCTACAAACTGAGCCACACAGCCTCTTTCCGTCAACATCTGCCATTTCGTCTGTGAACGTCTGCCAGTTTAGTCTAGAAGTTAAGAGAGTGGACTCTAATCTGGAGAACCGGGTTTGATTCCCCACTCCTCCACAGGCAGCCAGCTGGGTGACCTTGGGGCAGTCACAGTTCTCTCAAAGCTGTTCTCTCAAGAGCAGTTCTCTCAGAGCTCTCCCAGCCCCACCTAGCTCACAGGGTGCCTATTGTGTGGAGAGGAAGGGAAGGAAATCATAAGCCACTCTGAGACTCCGAGTGAAGGGGAGGATATAAATCCAACTCTTCTTCTTACCTCCTTTTCTCCAGGTGTTCCTGAAACTCTCTTCAATCCAGTGTTTCTGGAGACACTGGACTCAAGGAGGGGGGTAGCCCCTATGTGGATAGGGACATGTCTATTGCTGCCCAAATCCAGTATCATTTCCCCTCCCTAACCCTTGTTCCCACGGCCAGAGGGAGGGAGGTCCAACAACAAGGCATAGAGGCCGATGCCTGATGTTGCCTCCTATCACTGGTATTCAGAGGTTTACTGCCTCTGAATGTGGAGGTTCCCTTTACTCACCATGGCTAGCAGCCACCGATAGACCTCAACTCTGTGAATTGATCTAACCCCCTTTTAAAGTTGTCTGTGCCTACATCTGCTGGCAGCCTCTTGCATGCATCCATCCTTCAATCACTCACTGGGTAAAGAAGTATTTCCTTTTGTCCATTCTGAATCTACTGCCCATTAGCTTCACAAGACGCCTCCAGGGAATTGCCCCCTGCGTGAAGCAGCCTACGTTAGATTGTTTCTCTCATACATTCAGGGCCTTTTTTATAGAAAAAGCCCAGCAGGAACTCATTAGCATAATAGACCACACCCAACGGCAGGAACTCATTAGCATATCCAGCCACACCCCTGACAACACAGCTTATTAGCATACTAGGCCGTACCCCCATGTTACCAGAACTGTGGTCACCCAGCCACACCCACCTTTTGCTTCTTATTCTGTTTACCTTGTTTGTTGCCAAAACCCAGGGCCTTTTTTTGTAGCAGGAACTCCTTTGCATGTTAGGCCACACACCCTTAAAGTAGCCAATCCTAATGAGTTTCTGCTGTTGGGCGTGGCCTATTATGCTAATGAGTTCCTGCTGGGCGTGGTCAACTCGGGAGCCAGCCGGAACTCCGTTCCTGTGCGTTCCTGCCCAAAAATAGCCCTGCATACATTCATTGTTTATTTCCAGAGAGCTGGGTCTTCCCCCCCATGGAGAATAATTCACGATGGTGTTTTCCACATGCAGCCTGAAGGATCCCTCTATCTACTGTCTCGTTTAGTTGCATGCATAGGCCAGGCCTCAGCTTCATAAGATCAGAAGATGATTTGATGCATTGTCTGCGGCGGAGTAGGCTCTCCCCCGTGGATGAACCTGTTAACTCAGGCGGTACTGGAGGACGTGTTGTGTGTTCTCGCTTACCAGCGGTAGAGATGTCGTCCCAATAGGGGGAGTCGAAGTCATATTCCCCAGCCAGAATCTTGCGGAATATGCGCCGGTTGTGGCTGTCGCTGTTCTCGTCGTCTGTGTCGTCGTAGAAGGGGGGGTTCCCGGATAGGCTGTTTGGGACGGTGACGGTGGAACGATCATTATGGGGAGGGGCGGCACAAGGTGGTTCTGAGCTGAACAAACTTGACTGTTCCCTCCCCCAAACTCGCTCCCAAGTCCATCAAGGCTTTGCGTCCTGAACCCCACAGTCACACTTTATGCACAGTGCAAAATGGGATATTTCCCCTTGCAAACCCAGCTCACTGTGGTTCACAATCTAAGGTGCCATGGAAACTACAGACTGACACTGAATTCCGGAAGAACTGAGCTGAACTTAAGGGCCTGTGATCTTGTGTACAAGGCTGGAGGATGTGATAGTACTGTAATGGTGGTGGTGGTGGAAAGCTCTGTCAAATGGCAGCCGACTTATGGTGAGCTTGAAGGGTTCTCTGCTTCATGATCCAGGACTTCCTTCCCATCCAAGTGCTAACCAGGGCCGACCCTGCTTAGCTTCTGAGACCTGACAAGATCGGGCTATCCTGGGCTATCCAGGTCAGGACAGTACTATAATACTTCCATTTAAACAGGATTGAAGAGAGGAGCACTTCAGCATTCATGATATTGCAGATAGACCAAGGTGGGATGTTAGTCCGTCTGTGGCAGTGGAAGAGAGCAAGAGTTCAGTACCACCTTAAAGACTAACAAAATATGTGGCAGGGGAGGAGCTTTCATGAGTTGCTTCTGAAGAAGGGAGCAGTGACTCACAAAAGCTCATACCCTGCCATATATTTTGTTGGTCTTTAAGGTGCTTTAAGGTCTTTTAAGGTGCTACTGGACTCTTGCTCTTTTCTAATGATATTGCAGTAAACTGTGACGCCACCCAATAAGGCAAGGTGAGTATATGGTAGATATGTGGGATATAGGCAGGGCTTTTTTGGTAGAAAACCCCCAGCAGGAACTCATTAGCATAACAGGCCACACCCAACAGCAGAAACTCCTTAGCCTATTAGGCCACACCCCTGATAGCACAGCTCATTAGCATATTAGGCCACACCCCGTGTTACCAGAGGTGTGGTCATCCAGCCACACCCACTTTTTGCTTCTTATTCTATTTACCTTGTTTGTTGTCAAAACCCAGGGCTTTTTTGGTAGCAGGAACTCCTTACCATGTTAGGCCACACACCCCTAACGTAGCCAATCCTAATGAGTTTCTGCTGTTGGGTGTGGCCTGTTATGCTAATGAGTTCCTCATCGGCGTGGCCAGCTCGGGAGCCAGCCGGAACGCTGTTCCTATGCGTTCCTGCCCAAAAATAGCCCTGGATATAGGGATTGTATTGCTTCTATACCGACAGATAGGCACTGGCTGCTGTTACATTACTGGGCCCAATACAAAGTGCTGATGCTCAGCTTGGGCCTAGGGTACCTGAAAGACCCCTTTCTCCCAATAGTCTAGCTCAGCAGATATGGACTTCATCTTAAGGCCTTATCTCTCTGTCTCCCCACCTGTGGGACTGAGGAAGGCAGCAGCTATAGACGGGGCTTTCTCAGTGGTGGCACCCCGTTTAGGGAGCATCCTTCCCCTTAGGTTGCCTGGTGACTGCTTTCTTGGCATAGATCCTATTGTCCCACTCACAACACTATTATCTGTAGTTGTTTCACACAGCTGTTTTTATTGACCAGCTGCTGATGTTAAACAGATAGAGCAGGACAGTTTTTACTACTGAAAGGTGAATTTGATTGTTTTTAAGCAATTGTATTTGTACGTTGTTTTAAATTGGTACCTTCTATCATTGGGTTTTCTTCCATTAGCCACCTCGAGCACAAATTTGTAGAGGCGGGGCATCCGTTGCCTAAATAATCTATTGTCCCTATATCGCCAATAGGGGGAAAGGGCTGAGAGAAAGAGGACTAAGGCCTCCTAGGTAGTTCGTAACAGAGGTGAGATTTGAATTGGTTTGACTTTTTGGTTGGCAGCTTAGTGCCTTGGGCATCATAATATGCTAGCTCATACAGTGCAAATATAACAAAGTCAGTCTCACAGCCAACGTATTTCTTTAAAGGCTTCTTTCCTAGCCCT